AAAAAAAATAAACACCAAGCATTATCATCTCAAGAGGGCACTGTTATCCCAAGAGAGGAGGCTTTGATGCTTTCCAAAGAGCTGCTTTGTAGCATACAGAATCAAATCAACCCATTTGCAGAGCACAGATACCTACGTACAGGGAGAGGGGTAGAGAAAATGAACAGCCTATTAAGGAGCAATGGTTAGTAAAAATAAACTGCACCTCACATGAGTTATTTTTCTGTGTCCTATAGGTGATGTTTAAATTGTATTTTTAAGACATAGGCTGATACCCCAGAGCCAGACAAATGTGGACAGCACACACCAGACAACAAATACCAGAAACTGTGCAGTCAAATGCCTTTACTGCTTTTTGAAATTTCTAATCAGAAGGAATTAATGCTTAAAAAAATAATTAAATAAACTACCACTATACAAATGTCTCTGAAATGCGCTTTTATAAAGCAGAGACTAACAAACTCACAGGTGCCTCAACTTACTTAAGATTTTCCTGCTGGGCAGGTCGTTATAGAGGTGCTCGGCATTGATCTGCAGAGCCCTGTAGAACTCCTGGCAGTGTCGCTCCCCGTTCTTCTGAAGATGCTTGAGCAGGTCCGTGAGCCGTGTGTGGAGCGACGCCTTCGGGTTCCTGAACTGCAAGAGAGGAGCATTCGTGAGGAGACACGTTACCCTGCGGAGCTCAGCTCTCCACCACGTCACAGAGGATTCGGAGCTGGTTCCATACTTGCTAAAAGGATGGGGAAAATTCAGGAGAACATGAAAAGCACCCATACACACACACACACATCTAATATATATACATATATTTATATACATATATATGTGTATATATAGCCATATATTATGCATATAGCCTGAAAAGTGATGAGCATTAGGAGACCTTACAAGGAGGGAGAAGATGCATCCAGCCTTCCACTCATCAGACTGATTGCACCTAATCTGGAAAGTGCCCAAAAATGCTCTCAGCAAAGCAAAGAATTTCAGGCCAGCAAAATAGATAACACTAGCAGGTACTTACTTAGGATCAATTCCCTCTCAAGGAGGGCAACAGTACAGCATTTCTGATACAATAGTGCTTATTCCAACAAAGCTCCTGACAGAAGGGTGCATGCGGATGTGCAGGAAAGCAGCTGATTTCTGTCTGCAAAGTGTACAAGTCACCAATTGGGTTTCAAAAAGCCCCAAACCACTGATTCTTAAGCTCTTAATGAGTTGAGACGTCCTTAAACTGAGCACATCACACTGTTTTCATAATCCTGTGGCTAGTGCAGCTCCACTGATGATCCAGCATGGCCGTATGCCACCGAATCCCTGCTTGGCCCATGCAGCTCCAGCTCATGCTTCTACTCGGGACACTGTCCCGCAAACACGGGTGAGCTCCCGGGAAAGCAGTGCCACACACAGGAGCACAGCAAGGTTCGTAAAGTTACCTTTTCTGCTTCCGCATTGGAGAGAATTTGGGGGTAGACTCTGTTAAGCTGAAGAACAATTTTATCCACAACTTGCTCGTTCAATCGGCTATTGCTTGTAAGAAAATACATGTCATGTTGCAGCCGAATGCAGTACGACTGATCTGGGGGTAAAAATGACACAGAAAACAAACCACGGTGATTAATCAGCAAACTCACTTTTAACTTTGGCAACTTTCACTTTTCCCAGCAGAGGCTAAAAACATAAATATGAAATTGTTATTGTCACCTATCCTTAGAAAGCTGAGCCATGTTTTAGGGAAATGCAATAGAGGCCATGCACTCCGGGAGCTGACAAATCTCTGCAGGCCCATTTTGCCCCAGTTATAAATGTGAAGTCCCCGCTGGCAGCCGGAGGAGCCGAAGCAACTCAGTGCTAACACGATGCTGCGCTGCCCATGTGGAGCCTCCAGCAACGCGCACGGTGTTCCCCTATGGAAACGGCTCGGCAACATCAGGAACAGCATCTCTCAACAGCCTGTGAGTGCTTTAATGCAAGCGGGAAGGGCTTTGGCCTCCACCCCACCTGGCAGTGGGGAAGAAGAGCATTCAAAAGCAATAATTCTTTGTGGAACAAGGGCATTCAAATACACATACAAAGAAAACATCTTTAATATTAACACAGACTTCAACAAATCCACAAATCCAGGTTTTCTTTGGCATCATTTCTAAGTTGACACTAAATCATGTGGTGACCCACCCTGAGAGCACTACATTTCCCATGCCTCTTGGTGCACAGCTCCTGTTTTAAAACATGGACATATTCAGGTTCCACCAAGAACTGTGGTGACCACGTTAGAAACTAGCGTGAAAACGCCTGAGCTACAGGAGCCTGCTCCACAACATCACCCACCAGTGCAAACCCCGGCAGTTCAGCACATTGTACCCAGGCACAGGAAGAGAATCAAAATATTGCCCCTGCACAAAGGGCACACACAAGTTTTCTGGTACCTGGGCTACCAGAAAATGCACAATGGCCAGCACCTTTGCAGCCTGCTGTTTACACAAGATGAACAAGAAGATGAAGCCCTCCTCCTCCTCGGTGCCCTCTTAGCAGTGTGCTGAGTGAAAGACTGCACAACCCACACAACTCTGCGCCGTCGGCAAGCTAATTACTTATATTACACCCGGGTGTCCCAGCTCGCAGAGCAACTAAGCTTCAGGCAACACCTCAGCATTCAGATAAAAAAAAAATAATGCAGCAAGTGCTAAGAGCACTATGAGTAAGTTATTTTTACTAGAAAGTAAAATAAACACAGGCCCGAGGAGTCATCTCCTTCCCTGCTCCCCAGTCACCACTGATGCAAGCAGTGCAGACACACCAGTTGCAGTAGTACCAGCCAAGGTAGCCAGGACCAGTGCATGGTCACGTTTCAGTTCCCATCATCTTCCTGCCACATAAGCATTGCGCTTTTTGCTTAGGGACACTGCTGCCACCACACCAGCACGCTGCCACCACGCCAGCACGCTGCCACCACGCCAGCGTTGTGCGCTCGAGCTCCACCAGCCCTGCTGTGCGGCACAAGCTGCTCCAAGATTGCTGAGCGGCCCCTTTCTCTTCCCACCTAAGCCAAAAGGCTGCAGAAAAGATGAGATGATGCTTTTTGCCTCTGCCTGAGGATGCTGCAAGATTTTGCCTTCTATGGATGAAATGGCGCCTGGCTCAAACACCAGGAAGAAGCTTTTCCGTCCCATGGGATGGTCCATTTATTAGCGGTCCTTTTCAAATCACCTGCTCATTGCCCTGTTTCCACAGCAGCATTTCACCCGCCTGGATCTTCCCCTCCTCCAAGTTACTTCCTTTCCAGCCTGGGGACGAGGCTCAAGGTTTAAACTCTCCTGCAGAGAGGGTATCGAGCTCCACTCCGGCTCAGCAAGCGCAGAGCAAGAGCAGTCGCCAATTCAGTCACCTGGCATGTGTCTCCTGAAACCCCTCACCTCTCCCAGCACAGGGGTCCCACCAGGCCGCGGGTCGACAGCAGCGTGGAGGAAGCGCCCAGCTACCGCATGAACAACGCGGCGCCGCGGAGGGGCGCGTGGCACGCGGTGATAAGGGTATCGGCACAGCACAGCCGCGCGCCGAGGCCCTGGAGCCGCTCTGGGACATCCTGCCCAGCCAGCGGCTTTCGCCCCCGGCGCCACTGCGGGACAAGGGACCAGGGTGGCAGCGCAGGGCATCGTAGCATCCCTGGGCCTGGGCTCCCGTGCACGTCGCACCTTACGGTGACTCACCGCACAAACGGGCACAGCAAACACGGCAGCGCTGCCCCGGGCTGCAAGAGCCCCAGGCACTGGCACAGCTGGGGTCAACCACTCCGAGAGGATGGAGAAGTCCTGGTGGACAAGGGCACACTCTCCCCAGCTGTGCCCAGTGACAAGACAAAGGACAACGGCAGAGCCTAAAGCCCAGGAAATTCTGACTGATTCTGAGGAAGAGCTTCTTTGCTGCAAGGGCAACTGAGCACTGGGACAGGTTGCCCAGAAAGGCTGTGGAGTCTCCGTCCTTGGAGACGCTCCAAAACCGCCTGGTCACAGTCCAGGCTCTAGGTGACCTTGCTGGAGCACGGGCTGGAGCAGAGGATCTCCAGAGGTCCCTTCCAGCTCCAGCTCTCCTCTGATTCTGTGTCTGCCCTAGGAAGTTTTACAGTCATTGTGCATGCAGCGCCAGCTTTTTAATATTGAACACACCCGTTATTTACATTTTAAAGGAAACGCCAAACTAATAACTTCACAACTGTCGCTCACGTGTTTTCAAGCCTTGAGAATTTGGGGAGTAGTGGCTTGGCATATTTTGTATATCCAGCTTTTATCTCATTGCCTCAAAGAGACCAGAGTTACTGTGAGGGAAATTTAAAATATTTATACTAAGAAGCCTTTGTTTTTAAGCAGAAGTCACACCTGTGTTAGCAAGAATCCAGACTCCATTACCCAGATTGAGGCTCTCCCAGGCCTGGGAGTGGAGGTCACTTAACTGCTGAACTTGGAGGTTCAGCCCAGCGCTGCTGGGCATTTAATACCCCCAAATACTCTTCGCTGCTACCGCTTTCCTCTGGTGGAAAGGAGGAATTGGCAGAGCACACAGAGAGCCCCAGCTCCCATTTATTGATCACGTTAGATCAAACCCAGCTCTGTTTCAAATCTGCAGACCCACAGTCAGCAACTAATTAAAATATTTTTGGAAAAAAAAATAGTAGTTATTGACCCAAGCATGCTCAAGGCTGGGAAGAGAGATAGGAGTGAAGCTGCTACGTGTACTACATGCCTGGGTGCTCCCCAACCCATCCTCTCCTCCGGCAGACGTGGGGAGCTACCCTGCTCCGCAGGCAGGGCCGGACGGCCGAGTCGCTCCCTCCGCAGCTTCCCGCAGGATGGGCCGTGTTCAGCCCCTCTCCACTGGTGGGTATCCGCTTCCAACACGTAACTCCATCAATATTATCTGAAGGGGCCTGATACCCTACCTGGCATCACTCTCTTTATTACAGGCTCATCTTCCATTTGCTCTCCCTTTAAAAGCCTCCTTCGATTTCCCGAGCAAATAGACGGGATGATGCCAAGCAGATAAGGCACAGACCCCAGTGCAGCTCATCCATGCTCTCCATAGAAAAACACTTGAAGAGCAAACAGCTCCATAAACTCCTGCTGTCTCTAGCGAGTAACTCGAGCACAAGTTGCATTTTCGGGAAGCTGCAACTGGATGATGTTCAGACCCTTCCCAAAGATGGGCTGGCACCTGAACCTGAAGGCCCATAGCCAGCTGTGTGTGTGTCCATGCAAGCTGAGGAACCTCAGGAAAACAATGAGAAAAAAAACTCCTTTAACAAAATGCAAGCTTTTACAGTAATTTAGTCTCTGGCTTCCTCCTTTCAAGAGCCCAAGAAAGACAAGCTGCGGAATTCTTGTAAGACAAAATCTGTCTGCAGAGAAGCGGTCCGAGCTTACCCCGCTAGCGAGGGGCAGGCAGCAGAAGGGCGCCTGGTTGCACCGCTGGCTGGAAAGGATGATGCCGAGGCTAAAAACACGGTGCCTCCCGCCAAGCCCCAACCACCAGCACGGCGCTGCCACAACTGGCACGTGGCAGCCACAGAGTCTTTCAGAAGAAAGTCAGAATCTCGTTTTCATCTGAAAGAGCTGTTAAAAATAGAGGAGGGAAAAAACTAAATGAAATAGCGAGCAAAATATTAAAATTCCCTTCATATTTGAGCGTGCTCTTTGTGATCACCCCCTGCCCAGGCCCCGCACCCGCTCTGCACCCACCTGCCATGGTGCCGTCCCGGGTCTGCTCCCCGGTCCCGGTCTTCCTGGTGCCGGGACGGCCGCACCCGGCTCCGGCCCCGGCCCGGCCCGGCCCGGCCCCGCCTCCCGCCGGCCCCGCTCCTCCCCAGCGCCGCTAATTGCCAGCGCGCAAAGCCCTTAATTGCACAATTAGCAGGAAAGCAATCTCCTCCGGCAGCACCTCGGCTGCCCCGCGCGGCATTTTCGCGGTTTTCCCCGATATATGTATGCAATGCACATCCACCCAGCGCCTTCTTTTTTTAGCGCTGCAGAACTGTACACCCTCCTTTAACTGCAGCTCCCGTGTGTAAGGCAAGTTAGGCTGATAGTTATTCGGCCCCGAGGGGAAAGGATGACTTCTTCAAGCCAAGAAACACCTGTGCTGAGGCGGTTCGTTAGCAGGGATACACCAACTTCGCAGGGGAGGGAGTAAAAAGAAATTGCTGTATTTCAAAACCTCCCATTATGACAAAATTCCATAAGCATTTAGTAAGCCCACAGGGTATGGAGAAGACTATGGCATTCCCAGATAGACCGGGAAGCAAAGCTCAACCTTAGGTTTGCAAATTGTGATAAGGGAACAGATACATTATTTGTCACCGCTACTACTACTGTGGCTTTATTATTATTACTGGTGCAGAATTTCACATTTTTACTGTATTGAGAAAGCTAGGTTTGTAGTAAGGCAAAGATGATTCATAGTTCTGGCTTGTGCCAATGGCATGAAACTGTTTGCAGCAAACAGGAAGCAAAGTCTCTGGAGGAGACTAAGGCTGTGGCAGAGTCGAAGCAACCGGCAGCATCAGGGACACACGGCCAGCAGCACTGATTCTTGCAAATGCTCATCCCTATCTTTGTACTACAAATAAAAGCAGCTTCTTTATCCTTATGAAGCATATGAAGATAGAGAGAAAGCTCACAAAAACATTTTTAATGTTTCAAACTCCTGTGATGATTACAGCAGGTCTCCTTGGGAAGGTGAGCAGAGCGTCAGCATCCTCAGCTTGTTCTGCTTGGCCTGAGGGATCCACATTTTCCAAATGACATGAAAATGTATTAGAAAACAGATTTTTAATGTAATTATTATTGCACACAGACACCTTGACCATGACTGTATCCAAGTCTTTCTTGCGTTATAATAACAGAAACAGGCACCCTGTGAAAAGGAAATTGTCATTTTCTGACTCCTTTCATCTCTCTCTCTTTTTTTTTTTTTAAGAGGATTTCATATGTTTATAAAATCATCACAGCAATAGGTGCTGCATAGTAGTAGTGACAGTGGCAGCATGGCATGTCGAGGAGTTGTTTTCATGATCACTTTAGACCATTGGCAATTCACAGCGCTTCGTGCCCTGCTAAAAAAAAAATGTCACCGAAACCACCGTGAGCATCTGCCGCAGAAAACTGAAAACCCTTCGGTCTTAATGGTCCACAGATAGAAATCTGCCATACAAATTCCCAAGTGATTTTCAGCAGGCAGCATTTCCAAACATGACAAGGGAAATGGAAGCAGAACCCCGACCATTCAAGGGTGCTGGGGTGTTTATCGGCCAGCCTGGAGACGGCTATTTGTGGGCTATAGCCTCAGATAATGAAACAAGAACCACAAGTTAAAAATATCTCCTCCTCAGGCGCAGGGCACGTCTGGCCTGTGTGCCCTTAGCACGGGGACGTGCAGGGGACACGGCCCGCTCGGGAGGGACACCACAAGGGGACATGTCCTTGCTGGGAGTGGGACACTGTGCACCATCCAGCACAGCTCCCAGAACGAGCAGCGCTTCCCTCCCTGCATCATGGAGCCCCATCGTCTTCCCACGCCGTGGGACTTGGCTCTGGATTGTCCCTCCCGCTCTGCCCACGACCGCGTCCTCCCCAGCGCGCTGGGCAGCCAGCGCGTTTCCTGGTTCGCTAATTGCAAAAGCCATGACTGCTTCCCCTGCTGACCGGATTGGCTTTCCTTAATTGAATTCCTTTATTCATTAAACGCTACCCTTGCCACGGCAGCGTTTCCTTGCTTTAGCTGCTGCTAAATAACAAAACAATTTTCCTGCAGCGGAACAGGGCTGAGTCTCTTCGGAAACAAGCAACCAGCTCCCCTAACAAGTTCTCTTTGTGCTAGCAGAAACACGAGGGGACCCTTCTGGCAAGCTCAGCTACCTCCCGAGCGCCCTTCGGCGCCTCTTGGCTGGTTTCTTTCCCTGTAAACACAGCACGAAGGGAGGAAACGGCGG